TAAAGACTGGTAGGTTTCTTTCGTCATATGCAACCGTACACAGCATGCCTGCAAATTACTCGTCTGAAAATCCTTGTATGTGGTGAGAAAGGTATTTAATAACGTTTTGACTAAAACACGACATATCCAAGCGCTTAATACCTTCGATTGTAAAAAGCCCAACAACATTTAATTCGATAGAACTAACTGAGAAACAGGCGAAACGAATGACCCTCATGGTGTGGTGGTGAACACGTTACTCCCCGGAAAGGACAATGGCGCGTTCGTTCCCGACCGCAAACACCTGCTGTCCGGAGTTCTGCAAATATCACAGCAACATTAAAAGTAGCATTTAATTCGTTTCCTCAATATAGAGCATATTTCCGGAAGTTAATACTTGGTTGGTCCATGGTGCCAGACCGAACCAAAGTTCATATGTGCAAGGTGCAGGCATCTATAACTATTACGCTGCACACAGACCTTTGCTAGAGCATTAACAATGGTAACTGTGGCACTGATTTAAGGCGTTGGAAAAACATCACTGATCCATGCATTTCGAGACGATCGCTTCACCGAAAACGTCCAGGAAACCGGTGAAATGGTTTGTCGAATGCGCTACATACACGAACGCCGTATATTATTCCAGGTACGATCAACTTCGGAACTCTCACGGTTCTAAGTATTCTCACTTTGTCTCATATGCATATATTTACATTTATTCTTCCTACACGTTCTCTAGCTGGTTATGAGTACAATTATATAAAATGTTTAAACTGCATGAAAAATTCAGCACCGTCGAAAACTCACCCCAGTCAATCCATAGAGTGAAATTTAGAGGTATATTTCAGCAAGAAAACAGAACTCTTCAAGTAGAAATCCCTACGACAGACTTTCTGTTAACCTCGGCATTGATCAAATAGTTCTCGATATTCTTGTTGAGCAAACACATATATCATTCCAGGCTCTGAAGAAGGAGATACTGCCGAAACCAAGGGTGGAAATAGGTTTTAAATGACGAGAAAAAATAAAAACGAATTCGAATATGAACGTCTTATTTCGTCCGTAGATTTTAAGGCGATGACAAATCCGCCCACACTTCCTAACAAAAGCTAAACTAACAACTGACTGTGAAATATCACAAACACACGATTTCGTCTCAGCAGCTCGTAGTGGTTATAAAGAGAGACCGCCAATCGATTCATTGATTTCTTCAATTATTCTGATCGACTTTTCAGATGGTGGAACTACACATCGGCAAACTATTACCAGTAGATGCTCATAATGCTAAGGCAATCATGTTGCTTTACGACGACGAGTCTATACCGACATTAAAACGAATGAGAGAATACGTGAGAAAGATGAAGATCTAAATTTTCAATATTAAAATCACTGAAGCACTCAAAATTTTCTCAGAAAGCTCTTTCGTCTCCTCTTTTTTCACTACGCAAAACCCAATATGCTTTCGTTCATGTGGACTTAATAAATCGTTAGAATGCTCACTGAAAGAGACAGTAATCCTTCCGCATTTGAAAGGAACAGGAGCTTGTTATGTTTTGACGAAGAACGAACTTGTAATCAGACAATAGCTAGTGATGTAGTAGACCACTACACCATAAACCTGAAACAGATCTCATATGTTTCACACTTCCTCCTATTAAAACTTTTTAATGCTGCATTTTATAAACACCTAATCGTTCTCAATCCATGAATTCTTTTCCAGTGGTATTCGAAGATAAATCTCTACTTCTCACATGTGCCATTGTTTTTGGTTCGAAGTAAATGTGACTTGAAAACGGTGAGAAATCTCTAAGTTTCCTCCTCCCTCATTTACTAGCATTTCAGAGCCAAAATTAAAGCCAAAACAACCTTGCTGACCAGCTATCACACAAATTCACTCTCTGTCGGTTCGCATCTGATGTTCCACTCATTCAGACGGTCAATACGGCCAGTGGTGAATCTCTGAAGAACTCCATGCATGCACTACGATATCTCCAGTGCTCGGCAAAAGAAATGGCAAGTTATTCAGATTCGTACGTTTTCAATAAGTTTGACAAATATTTCTTTCCTGAAGAAATGAGCGCATGAATCACAGCGACTGACGGTGCTCTGCAACAAGCATCGGTACAATCGAGGGCTCAGGGATAGCTAAGTAGGTCATCTTTTCGGGGTCGGATTCGGTCGCTAGCAAACGTCCTTTAGAGGACAGGAACACTGATGCTGGTGCAGCGATAGGCACCCATATGTCATTGTGTAAGCCATATGTGCTTGCTCAGTCACACTCAGTCATAACTGCGACTCTACGAACGGATTTCAATGCATGGCGCATCCATTAGCGATAGATCAACACCGTTTCCTCTTAGTTTCAGTACACTTTTTGAGTTACACATACTTAATGATTACTGCGCTGAAAAGTAACGCATAGATGAAGGATAAAGGATAAAGCTCTCGGCGTTGATCAATCTCTGAACGATGCGCCATGCATTCGACTTCATAAACTATCGTTGGAGGTGATTGAATTCATATCTGGTCTTTACACTGACTCGCGGTGGCTTACCGAATTATCGAGTCATGCTGCTATCCTCCCAGACAAGTCTGGTACCAATTTACCAACCTGGAGGGATGGAAGGCTTGGTGAGTCATGGGCGCTGGGATCGATTCCACGTGTGTGTCGCAGTGGCGCTTCCAACCACTGCGCCAACTCACAGATAGTAAAACAAGTGTACCCACTGTTGGCTAGTTCCGACAAACTGAAATATTATGTGTTTTCTTGTTAAGAATTACGTCGTAAAATATTTGCGCGTGCTAGTTGATGGACATCTTAATGTTTACCATTTTGTAGACGAGTTCTCCCTAATAACGTTAGGCGTAGTTGGAATGAAACTACCGCTTATTATCTCATGATTGTATATACTATACTATATATATTGTGAATTTAAGAATAGAATTCAGTGGAACCTATGGAAATCGAAAAATTCAGTCTTTAGCATTAGCAAAATAATAGGACCTCAAGGTAGTCATTCTTGGAACACCTTTAGTTTAATGAGTGCGTGTGGCGCAGTGGTCGGAGGCGCTTTGCAACACACACGTGGAATCGATCCCCGCGCTCATGGCCCACCAAGCCCTCCATCCCTTCGGGATCGGCAAATTGGTACCAGACCTACCTGGGAAGATAGCATCATTGGCTCGATACATCGATAAGCCACCGCGAGTTATTGTAAAGGTCGGATATGCATTCAATCACCTCCAAACGATGCTTAATGAAGTCGAATGCATGGCGCATCCATCATGGAATGATCAACGTCGAGAGCTTTACCCTTTTTTTATTTTATAGGTAAAAAATACTATACAAAACCGCATTACAGAATGGTGTCAAATATGTGTTCTTCGAGATTCTTTCTGCTCTCAGTGCAAAACCAGACACCGAATCGACAGGCGTGGATTGTTCGTCATTTATTGTGCAAGTTTTTCTCATTGTCGATTCGAAATGCTATTTCATTTCAGTCAACCTATCAATGTCCACTATGGAAACTGCTAGCGCTGTCTTCGGCAGACTCGGTAGCACCGGCCCCTTGCTAAAGGTGAACTAAGTACTTAAATACCTAAATACCTAAGTTCCTTAATATATAAAACCATTAGCAATAAACGCCATAGAAGATAAAAGTATTAAATCTTTATTAAGCATGCTTGCGGTGACACCTAATATTTTGACCTTGTGGTATATTGTGCCCTCATCTAGCAAAAGAAGACATCAAAAAGCTTGCTAATTATGATCTCTTATTTTGTTGATATATAATTCAAGGAATTCCAGGAGGTCAACTATCTATGTTCGTCCAATAGAAAACCTTAGTACACCCCTCGTTTGTGGGATACCTGCTGACGGAGATATCTTAAGACCTTTCTCACAGCCAACAGACGTTATGGCTAGGTGACCGATAAACTTTTGTAAATCAAAAAGGGCAGTATATATCCTTTTCTTGTCAACGATGGGCGCGACATTTTTGGTGTAGAGCTGCAGAACGGGTACAGAAAACAACAGGGAGAGCCTTTGTGGCAAAATAAAGCCTGAGATAAAATGAGCAATATATCATTCAAAGGACTAATTATTGACATTTCACCTAGGAGCGAAATAAACATCATGCTCTATTACAGTTTCTTTAGCTCAATTCGTTTGTTTTTCAGCAAATTGTTATCAATGCGCGTGAATGTATTTCAAATCCCGCTGCATTTCCAGATATTAAGGGATCGGTAAGGTGATTAGCAGTAAGTAAAATTGATGGATGCATCTAAATCAGGAAGGGGCGCGTGTGGCGCAGTGGTCGAAGGCGCCCTGCAACACATACATGGGATCGATCCCCGAGTCCTTGGCCCACCAAGCCTTCCGTCCTTCCGGGGTCGGAAAATTGGTACCAGGCTAGTCTGCGAGGATAGCAGCACTGGCTCTATGCATCGGTAGGCCGTAGCGAGTCGTAAAGGCCAGATATGCGCTCAGTTACACCAAACGATGCTTAATGAAGTCGAATGCATAGCGCATCCCTCAAGGATTGATGAACGCCGAGAGCTTTGTCCTTTATCCTTTATTTACATCAGGCACAAAACCAAATTAAAAACAATTTCCTTACGAAACTCATTAGGTGATTTTCCACAACCGCTTTTACGCCAATTGATAGAAGTTTTCTACAAACATTAGATAACACGTTTTCTAAGTGATAACAGACGATCTACGACGACATCGTGCGACTTGTTATGTCAGGAAGATACTAAGACATCTTAGTAAATCCATTTACTTGTTACTCAGACGACTGGTCTTCATGAGTCTCGACGACCGTCGCTCATGAATGTGGATAGCTTCACACATGATATATACGAGCACTATGGATAATCCCATGATCCATGACTACTTTCATGCTTTAAATTTTTACATGAATACAGTATGGCCGCATAAAACAAACAAAAAGCTGAACAATGAAAAATTCTAGATCGATTCCTACTTGCCCTACAGCATTTTCGGCTCTGCACCACATATGAAACAAAACAGCACATCTAAAGAAGAAAAACAGTCCATCCAGAAGGACGAACGTCGTGACCAGGCGAAAACGATGCCAAGCAAGGAAGAATTAACAGAAACGATCAAAAACGCAAACGCGAAACCTTTTGAAAACCTTGGGAAGAACGACAAAGTAATTACTGAAGAGGAAACAGAGGCGAAAAGCGAAGCGAACAAGAAAGCAAGTCGACGGTTAGGCGAAGCCGCCCAAGGAAATGATGAAGAATATGAGGATGAAGCCTAATGAATTCATTCTTTGATCCAAATCATTGAATATTCTATCATACACGTATGAATTGGAAATAAACTATAGTGAAAATACGATCTGTCGTGAAGATGACGCTAAACAATAGGAATGATACAACCACAACGTTGCTGAGATATTTGCAAAACTCTGGACCGCAGGTGTCTATGGTGGGGAACGAACGCGCTATTGTCCTTTCCGGGGAGTAACGCGTTCACCACCACACCATGCGGGTCCTTTGTTTCGTTTGTCTCTCAGCTATTTCTATCGATCGCTATTTCTATTGTTATACCTTTTTATTTTCTGCCTACTATAATTTCCCGCTAACGGGTGATTGCTGTGGCAAAGATCCTCACCATAGACACCTGCGGTCCAGAGTTTTCCAAATATCTCAGCAATGTTGTGGTTTTATTTCGCTCAGTACCCTGCCGCGAAATTATAGTTGGCAGAAAATAAAAAGGTATAACAATAGGAATGATAATTTTAAATCTTAACCTATTATTCACTGCCTACTATTTTTAATGGCAGGTTATGTTGCGAAATATAACTTCAATGATGCTGAGACATTTGCAAAACTCCATACCGCATGTGTCTGCGGCAGCGAACGAACGCGCCATTGTCCTCTGCGGGGGCTAACGCGTTCACCACCACACCATGCGTGCGCTTCGTTACGGCTGCCTCTCAACTGATCGATAAAACTTTATCACCCACTGCAGACCAGCGTTCCGGAGTTTTGCAAATATCTCAGCATCATTGAAATAGAAATGATAGTTTAGAGTGGAGTTTTGTCATATGTGAAGTCAGACTATCTGAATGAATAAAATTACTCGAAGATTTACGTATTCGAATAGAAAAAGAGCAGTTTCAAGGCGAAGCAAAGACAGAAATCGAAGGTCTTCCTGCCACCAATAAACTCATATGCCATTGACAAAAAAAAATAAAAGCTTTATCGCATAAGAATAACTGAAGCATAAACAATCCTTCTATAAAAGAATAAGAAAAATTGTTACTACGTCAGAAATCTGAACGACATCTTTTGCTCAATGTCGGTTTTTTCCATAGCCTAAAAGAAATCCCGATCAGATAGGCACATAAGGAAGAGGATTATTACTGTAAGCAATATTTGTCTGAAGGGATAGCCCTTGAAAAGAAACACTGTTGTTCAGGAATTTGGGGAGTTTGTGATCTTGAAGTACCTATATTATAAGGAAATATCCAAAATGAGGTACTGAGCTAACATTACACACTGCTTAACGGAAAAGAATGGCTAGACATTCAGATTTTCTGATAGTCAGATAGTTTGTATCGCTTTGTATCAAAACATTTCAACACTACAAGAAAGTAGTATTCATCGTATAAATCGAGTATTTCTGTACCATTAACAAACCACGAATAGTCGAATAGATTAAGCGATTGCAAAAATTTTTCTTGGATTTTTGAGTAGTTATAAACACAATGTTTAACCTTTATTTACTTCCTATTGTTTTTGAATGACAATGTAATGATGTAAAACACAACCACAAGGATTCTGCGATATGTGAAAAACTCAGGACCACAGCTGGACTTCGAACTATACTTTCCCAGCGTCCATGTGCTATCCACTACATCAACAGAGGCTCTTGCTTTATTTTTCCCTCACCTAGTAATTGCGGTTGCAGCTCCAACTTAACTCGTTTCAGCGCCGATTTGTGCTCACTAGATCATTTACGTTGAAGGGTGATTTATTATGGATAGCGCCGATAGAGTAGGAAGTGTAGCTGAGAGAAAGGCAAACTAAGGGTCTCGGTAGGTGTGGTGGATATCACGTAGGCCCAAGGAAAGTTTGGTTGCGGGTTCGCAGACCAACTGAGGCTCCGAGTTTTGTTCATATCTCTTCATCGTTGAACCCTGTAGTTACAAACATACATGGCAAAATTCGGTGAATGTGATGCATCCATCACCGTCCCTATCTGCTTCTCTCATCGTACGATCGGCTATCGAATTCACTTGATCTTCGGGAACATTCGCACCAATCATCATCTGTAATTCTTATAAGCGCTGAAGATTCCAAACAGTACATCACTAGTACGACCTAAAACATCGTCACCAAACAGAAGCAGTTAGATAGTGATTCAGGAATAGATTCATAAAGTCATTAAGAAATATCATCCTTAAGCATATTGGATGAAAACAAAGATAAGAACTGTTATCGCACGACACTTACATATCCGTTTTGAAGACAATGATTCGCCGAACGACAAGGAAACTGAGAAAAATTTCGGAGGAACCATAACTATAGTAGACAATATCTTCTCGAAAGTACCATTTCTAGCGATACCAGACGTCCTGTGGACATATAACAAAGTCCGTGGTTGAAATTGCCGTTAACTATTACACACCGTTGTAACTAGTTTTTCCTATGAAGTCAACAGCGTTGAAGAATCTGAATAGTCACCAAGCTGAAACATTTCTCAATCGTAAGATTGTATCTATGTGGGATTACTAATCGCGACTATTTGTATTACCGATAAGGCCGAGCGTTCTATCCTTCATACTTCTGTTCTGAGGCATTCTCCAGCATTTATCTTTGATGGAAAAACACCAGCTCCTTTTTAAGGTGTTTAGCGATGTTTTCCTTATACCTGAATCAACCATAACACACTCATAATTAGAAATAAAGGAACAACAACAGCAACAACAACTCTCCGTCGGCGTAGAAGTTGTAGATGTAGTCAATGTCGGGGGTACATCGCACAGTTCACACTACACCGTACCAGACGGTTTGAGAAACCGGATCAAAATTGATTTCAGTGGCATCGCTATCAGGAAACAGACTCGACCAGTGTGAAATTATAACAAGACAACACACATATGACCACTAGCATAGTAGATACGTACGTTCGTAGCTAGTTCAAATATACCCACAGTGTTGCAAGCCTTTTCCTACGAGTCGCAGGGTAATCCGCTTCACCGCAACGACATCTTCCAATAGCTAATACACTTTCCCCTTTACTAAATCAGTTGTCTAGCATTCCGTTCCGCCACAACGAGCTCTTCCACGCCATGACGCGCTTTCCCCGTCGCTGAACGAGCTGTGTAACAATCTGCCTCAGCCTAATGAAATGATATTTTCTAACCACTAATGATGTATTATTTTTGATGTGTGTGTTCTAGAAAAATAACCCATAGTGTGCGGTGACTCCAGCTAATGAATTCATTTGAACTACATAATACCTAATTATATTTGATATTTTCTTAATAATGAACAATGTAATCATTATAAGTTGAGCAATGTGAAGCATAAAGAACTAACGCCTATCCTCACAACTCCACAAACTTGCATGAGTTTTGCATCTCAAACTCTCACAACAGAACTACGACAAAGTCCTTAAGAAAGATTCCAAACCCTCTCGTTATTATCGTCCTGAAGTAGTAGACAACGTTAAACAAAAAACATGTGCCCCGATGCCAAAGCATAAACGATGGAAGAATAAGGTGCTCGGCGTTTACCGATCTCTAGTAGATATCACACGCATTGAACTCCATTCGTAGGAGTGATTTAAAATGCACACTTCGCTTATACGATGACTGCGGAGGAGCACCGATGTGTCAAATTATCACGCTGCTCTGTACCGACTTTGCGACCCCAGAATGTTGAGACTCATGGTACTCATACTCATGCGATGCTAAGAAATAGTCACTTTAGTTTTTTTGTTTTTATTACAACACATGGATGTTGCCCGTTGCATCACTACTAATCAATTGGGCGACTAAAAGAAATTAGCTGTCCTCTCAGAACAATCCAGCTTGCATAACAGCAAACTTCCTCTTAATAAACAAAAGAATAATAAATGTCTACAGTGAAAACCTTGGAACGATGTACCACACTTATCGTGAGACTATATGGGAAGCCACATCAAAATGTCGATAGGTGAACACCATAGAAACTTACTCAGCAGCTAAATTTACATAAAACCACAACCATTTCTGTGAATTGAAGGTTCTCAGAACAACAACACGAAGAGAAGAAGTGCTAGAGTCCAGGAGATATCGGTGAACGAGCCAAATGAACTCAAATGTAAGTAAATAGTATAATACCGTCTCTATAGCAATTTCAATAGCAAGACGGTAAAGTTTTATCGAATCCACGACAATTGGTTATCGCTTGTGGTGACGAGCTAAGAACGCCCTGACAAGGTTATCTAACAAACTACAGAGAAAACGATGTTCTCCTCAACCAACCAACACAACAATCACATTATGAGAACGACAGGTCACTCTGTCCTTTATCGTGATCCTTTCTCATTAAATAACCGAACCACCTACTCTTCTCAATCGATCCGTTGGATCTCATAAGGAGATATATTTTCTGAGGTGTAAACGTGTGTGTGTGTGTGTGTGTGTGTGTGTGTGTGTGTGTGTGTGCGTGTGTGCTCATTAGACTCCTTGCAATTGTTACGTTATTAAGTTAGCTTAAGTTAAGTTATTCCTATGTTTCGAAATTGGCTTTACTCTATCCATGCACTGCAATATAGAAGGAATTTTCTACGATTTAATTAATCACCACATTTTTAAATGATCTCAGAAAAAACATTTTTACATGATAAATGCCGCTTCCTCTCCTTTACAAACATCCTGATTGACAAATTAAGAACGTAAAATCTGACAGATACCATACACTTCACGCTACTTTAATAATGATAAGGCTCACCTTCAAAATGTCCTTAAATTCATCCTTTGTTATCGTACCACTCTTGTTCAAATCGTACATCGTGAACGCAACTATAAAATAAGTGTTCCAAAATTCCGTCATAATCGATAACAGTTCTATGATCAAAAGGCAAAACATACAACGCAGCTTTGCTTCGCGACTATTCCATGGATGCGGTTTATTCCTATTGATCGGACGGAAACGACTTAGGACTTTGACGAAATCTCGAAAGTAGACTTTTCTTCTCTCCACCACACTTTAAATACCATATTAAATAAACTAAAATGATCACTATGATCTCTTTTGTGAGGTAAGGTGTTTTGTATTTGAATTTGTTGAGCCTATCTGCTCGCTTGAGCGCGTGTGGCGCAATGGTTAGAGGCGCTGTGCAACACACTCGGAATCGATTTCCGCGCCCATGGCCCACCATGCCTTCCATTCCTCCAGGATCGTAAAATTGGTACCAGACCTGTTTGGGAGGATAGCAGCACTGGGTCGATACATCGGTAGGCCACCGCGAGTCACTATAAAGACCAGATAGGCATTTAATCACCTCCAAACGATACTTAATCAAGTTGAATGCATGGCGCATCCCTCAGAGATCGATCAACGCCGAGAGCTTTATCCTTCATCCTTTTACCTGCTCGCTTATAAAAAAATCTGTAGAGGAAAGGCATGAAATGGATGTTAGATGGCTGCCTGGATCCAAAAAAACGATGGACCATTGCCTATTGTACGCTCATATTTTCACCGATGCATAGGTTTCTTTCAGACAGGAAAAAATCTGCGGAATTCTTTCACTACAACATGGCTCACCAAAGATCATCATCAGTGGTGGGCATGGCCAGCAGATTTAAGCGCGTAGTCTCATTTTCAACCACGGGGTGTTGCTTATCGCAGTTCAGAGGCACGCCGACAATTTAGCAACGATTTTAAAATTGGTTTGTATTCTATGTTTATTAGTCTCTCAGTGACTGCATCAATTCAGTGCATGCGCCATTTAAAAAAATAGCTATTTTCAACTTTGACATCGACAAAAGACATGTTACCTTCCTCTCCGTGTCCAACACTGATTTTGTGGTGGGCGTCAGCAGAGAAACGCTTTATGCTACACTTATTAATTCGCAAGAGCTTTTTTCAGACTAGTTTGTTCTTGCGATTTGGACCCGATGGTAGCTACTTGCATGTCTGTAGTGTTTGGAAAATGATGTTCGAGTTTTACAAAAACTTTTCGTGACGATAAGATATTAAGCCATTGAGAAATTGCACAAAGTGGGTATTCATAAGTCTATTTTCGCAAAGTACACGTCTTTGCAAGCATTGCGTAATCTCAACATTTACTCTCACAACCTTTTGCTGACGTTGTAGACGTTTTGCTCTAGAACGTTTACTTCAAAATCGCCAGTAAATGCTTATAACAGCTAACATAACGTCTCCAGTCTCCAGTGAATTTGCCACATTTTTGAAGAATTGTGGTTTTTTTCTTCCTTTCAAACCATTAAATGAGTACAGTTATAGTATAGAATAGGTACAAGTGAGTATGAAGCGAGACCGACTGGCGAAGTCTGGCAACAATGTGCTTGGAGTGCGAACAGGCTTTTCTAGCATATGTAGGAAGTTGATTCGTTACAAGAGCACGGAAAGATACACATAGGAAAGTACAGAACGATTAGAATGAATACAGAAAAAATACGAAAGAAAAGAAATTACTGATGGGAAAGTACAACAAAAACGGCCAACTAATTTGGTAAGGGTTATTTCGGACGGCATGAGATTGCATATCATGGCCAATGGCATCACATTGAGTTGGAATGAATGAGAATGTTCTTCTAATGTCTAAATAACTCTACGAGATTCAAACTAATAAGAAACTTACTGAAGATGACGAAAAGATCGACTAAAACTAATCTAATGCCAAATATTATCGCCGTCCTGGAAGAAGTTTAACGTGGAGGTAACGAAGCTTGTATCAACAATTGGTAAAATACTACCTTGGACGAGGAACCGAGAGTATACAAGTATTTGAGATTCTCTAGCCAAATAAAACCTTGTATAACTCGCTAATTACCAATCAAATTCAAGCTATGCTAGACTCTGAATGACTTTCTGCGAAGTAGAGCCGAATAAAGAATAAAAGTATAGAGCGTACCGCGCTGATCAATTCCTTAGTGATGTGTCGTGCAGTGGCCACTTAGCATCATCGAAGCGATTGAACTGCACATCTGACTCACATGACTTACGGGAACCTATCGATGTATCAATTCAATGTTTCTATCTTCTCAGACCTACCTTATCCCTATACGGCGACCCAACAGAAATGGAGGGCTTGATTTGACCGAGACATCATAGCAAACTTACGACCAGGGGTCTATTGAAGAATACGTAGAGACGCTTACAAGCCACTACGGCTTTCGAAGTACTAAGTAAAGACCTATGTCTTTTTCACAATTGTCACCTATCACAGTTCAGTGTTCACAGAGAGATAGAGTGATGAAGCTCTTCATCCTATCACACAAGCAATTAGCTACTGCTGTGTCCACAAATGCTTAATCCACAATCGGTCTTCAGAACTGCCACTGCATCTGAACTCTCTCCACCACCACCAACCATTAACTTCCATTATTTGTTTTTCATTCACATCCGGTGGCTTTTAATACGTGGTGGGTAATTTGTTGATTTTATAGTGTGGTTAAATAAGGAAATTATAAGATGAATAACTAGCACTTTCAGAAATCTGAATGAAAATCAACCATGGATATTTTTTAAGAGTTGTCACTCTCATACTAACGAGTTCAAAAAAAAAGTGGGAACATTCATGCCATTCAAAGGACCTTTCCTCTTTCATTAAACCGTAACAATAACCAACAAATTTCTGCATCGGTGAACTGATAAGACGTTGGTATACTAGCCTTTATTAGAAAGTGAAAACTTTTACACCAACCTCGTGCCAGCCCAGTCATGTAGAAAATTATGACGTTATTCCTCTTGGTCATGGATAAACATCCCTTGCCAACTATCGTACTCGAAGCCATTGACTGCCTAACTCTCTTGTTATCACATTCAAATAATCTCTCTTGTCGTGAAGCTAAAAGAATCTCTTGGCATTGATCAATTCCTGAGGATGCAACATGCATTCGACTTTATTACGCATCGTTGGAGGTGATTGAATGCATATATGGCCTTAACAGTGATGACTCGCGGCGGCCTACCGATCCCTCGAGCCAGTGCTGCTGTCCTTCCAGATGAGTCTGGCACCAAATTGCCGACCCGAAGGGATGGAAGGCTTGGCTAGCCACGAGCACAGGAATCGATCTCTTGTGTGTGTATGTTGCGGGGCGCCTCTGACCACTGCGCCTCACCCGCCTTCTTGTCGTAAAATTCCAATATTGTTCAATGATTTCCTTCAACAAGGAAAAAGTCGTAGCTTATAATTTGCACGTTCCATTTCTTTGATAGGTCTTGTATATCTGATTTCTGCATTCTGGTTATAAAGTTGATATTATTAACAGCCATATAAGATCTATAAGGTTAGACAAGTTCTGTAGGTAAATGAAGCATAATTCATTCTGATGATAACATATCAAAGCTGTACCTATTTGAAGAAGATATTGTTAAATACAGCAAACCTTAACCAGCACTACGATACTGTGACTGCTCAAAGCCATTCAGTGTGACGTCAATAGGTCGGTGTTCTTGGTAGTTTTGCATTTCTACGAATTCTTCCTTGAATACATATTGTAGGAAACATCCTGGTCGAGTAAACTCAAAATCCCACCAAATATATTTTTCTTAAGGCTTCCTTAAGTTGTTCGAGAGATTGATTTATTACGTCGACGGCGCAATGTGCACTTTTGCAAATACCAGCGTAATAGAATCTGGCAAAAGGCTTATTCAATAGCTGATAGAAGCTCGTAGAGACGAAAGTATATCCAGTCAGCCGCCTCGTGCATACCGACAATATCGTCATATCGACGATCGTTCTGCTTACAAAGACGTTCTATCGTCCTAGTAATGAGTTGTAATGCGATGCCTGTGGAATCTAATACGAAGCAGACAGAGCAGCTGCAAACTTCGCAGTTGGAAACAATCGAATTCTCACTATAGGTACTGAGAGTACTCAAAATACTTCCAATAACTTGTACTGTAGCAATAACGATGTTCTTCACCTATTCAACCTCTTACGTGAGTGGACCTCTTCACAAAAAAACCTTACGGACTCTACTGCGCTTACTTTCTAACCAATAAGCTAATGGTTTAACAAAGCGGTGACAATTCTCGGTATAGCTTTAACAATTATATCTAGACTGTTGAATAAAAATGTCAAAGTTTTTCGCAACCTGCTTAACACTGCCGAAAATTACTGGCCTGCTGCACATGGTTCCGTTCATCGGACACCAAGGAACACTAGTTAGCTATGATACTTCCTTGATACTTGAACGGCCCGTCCTCACTAGTTGTGCAGACATCAGCGTAATCACCATTTTTCGGAGATTTGCTGGTTAAGCCATTGTGGTTCCTTGGAATCCCGAGTACAGCCTGGCCAAAGTCTGTCCCAGGTCGTGACCACGACAGGCAGTCGCAACCCTTGTGGATCAGAGGAAGATTTGCCAACATGCCACATTGATACCAGGACGGTGGTGGTGGATCCTGATATTGGTTTACGCTTAGCTAGGCTTCCTGATGGAAACGCCGGACTCCTTCTCAGCTTGGGAGACCCTGCCGGGGGGACGAATCCTCCGCTGAACATCGCAGTCCGACACCCAAGATCACGTCCCGGCCACGATGAGGCGGTAAACTGTTGGGAGGAGTTAGTTAAGATAGGACGACGAACTATTGAAGGGTGTGTACGTAATTTATTTCTTTCGCCTTATTTAGAAACTAATAAGATAACTTGGATAACTTGGCGGCAATAAAGTGTTTTTACTGTACAGATGATCTTGTAATTGTAATCTCGTTCTATAAAACTAGGACCGTAGTGCTGTGTTAACAATTTTCCTCTAGAATGCGCATATGGGTGCTAGTTCAGTCCCGTGTACCAGATGAACTAAGCACTTACTTCATTCAAGGTCGACAGATTGGACTAAACTTATCAAGGAGGAAAAAACTACTAATCCCGCAAGTTATTTTATAGGTTAAACATGCTGCCGATCGCCTATATCTTACTTTAAGAGTCGATTGTTGAAATGCAATCCATAAGGGATTGATTAACGCTGAACGCCTTATCCTCTAATTTTCACCACTGGTCCTAGAACAACACTCACTCCACAAAAGATTAATAACCTCATTTTTAAAAATGTTTGCAAATAATAATGCACTTTCATAATTGTTTGTCTGGTTTCTCCGCAAACTCTCTAGCAGAGAAAAGACTGCGTTTTTCTCTGCCGCTGGTTTACAATTAGAATAAGAATACGAGCGGTGGGCTTCCACGAGACCGCCTTAAGTGACGGGCATTTCGTCCCTTTATATTACTGCTTGTCCATCATTCATTTCTTTTTCTTTCTCTTAATATGGTTTCATTCTGAGAACCGCTATTCTTTCTTTTAACAGATGTGATCCAATTGCAATCGAACCTTATGTCTTTAGTAACAATCGAAAATTTTCATTCTTAGTAAAAAGTATAAAGGATAAAGCTTTCGGGATTGATCAATCCCTGAGGGGAGGGATGCGCCATGCATTTGACTTCATTAAGTATCGTTTGGAGGTGATTGAATACATGCCTGGCCTATACAATGAGTCGCGATGGCCTACTGATGTATCGAGCCAGTGCTGCTATCCTCCCAGACGGGTCTAGTAGCAATTGACTGTGGAGGGATAGAAGGCTTGTTGGGCCAGGTATGCGGGAATCGATCCCATGTGCATATGTATGTATTCTTAGTAACGTCAAAAACACCATAAATCCGCTCCCACTTTCTTGATATTCCATAAAATCTAGTAGACATTAACGACTACAAAAAAGTATCCTACAGCTTGCGAATTTGTTGCCCCTAGCCAAATGTCAGCTTTAATGCGTGTGAATGGAAGAATTCGCAGCTTTCAGTGCCAAATGTCGAGCCACTCTTTATAAAACTGCCCAAATTTCGTGACGCTAACGGCCAACCTACTTCTTCTCGCATCCCCATCAAGCTTCTATTTCAGTGACTACCATGGTTTGGCTTAGTTGGTTCTCTTCTCGTTCTTTCTTCTCTTGCTCCAACCTAAGGCAGTTCATTGGCCTGGCTTCACTAAGCGTGTGAAACCCCTACTATTCCCCTAAGCTACAATTTTTAATTCTTTGCTTGAATACAACCACTAGTATGCTGAGACATTTGTAGAACTTGGACTCTAGGTCAGATCCTACCGCGATTACTCTTTACGGGGTCACATGTTACGCACGGCACCAGTGAGGCCCTTGCTTTGTCTTCTTCCAAGTAGTTTTCTAGCCTAAAGGTACCAAGAAATCAACCGTCAACGAGAATTATCTGCAGAGCACAAATCGGCACTGAACTTAGTTAAATATTGCAGGTTTTGCAAATATTTCAGCATCATAGTTGTTATAGTTCGCATCATAATACCCTGTCATGGGAAAATAATAGGCAGCAAATAAAAAGTTAAATATCCCTTGATTGAAGTTCTAGGATATCCAAAACTTGGCGTACATTCCAAATCTTCCTACTTTGTCACTGCCAGTCGGCACTTTGCGTATAGCTGAAGGGCTAAGTAGGTTTCTACGAAGCGTAACTCGTGACATTGATTCACTCATATCTCAGCTTCTGCCTGAAAGCATCGGACTATCCCGCAGCTTAAGCAATCCTGCCTAGAAAATGAAATCTAGAAAACACCGTTTTTTCAGAGCGATGCGGTATAACGATGCATATTTAGCAATATTTAATGCTTATATATGCAGTTTTTTCTATATGGATAACCGACCCACCACCCACCACCAACTTCTACGTGACATTCTGTTGTAGTCACGATTCAGAAGTTCAACAAGGCAGCTCGAAGTTTCTTCGCCCATCGGCCTCCCAACGTTTTACAAAGTACACTTAGTACTCACTGTCATTCCAGATTGTGCTATCTCTAAGTTTGTTCGTTACGATTTTCTTGATGTTCAATGAATAGAAACATATTTCGAGCAAAAGAAAACTTTCTATGGAAAATCGTTCAACCCTAGAGTAAGATCTTGGCTAATCAAATGAATATCTCAACCTTTGTTTATTCACTTCTCAGAAGGAATTTCTATAATTCTAATTCTATTCTAACGATAGTTACGTAAATACATAATATATTAGACCATCCCGTTTTTTAAGTATTGCAAAAAAGGTGGGAAAATAGGACAACCTTTTTTGATTTTCCAACTTCTTAGATCTATTTCAGTAAGAGTTTCCTTGCATAAAGAGCTACTCGAAACCCGATTTGAGGTCGTCGAAGTTAGCAAAGTGCTCATCGAGCTTTTAGGATCTATAAAACACAAAAACTAGAGGATAGTACGAGAATTAGTCAAAACGCAGAACTTAGAACAACTTTCAGTAGAGCAGTATGTTGTAGTAGACAAACCCAACTTCATCTCGGTCGTTCTTTATCACAGGAAAAACTAATGAAGGAATTAAATCCCATAGATATTCAAGTCAGCCCTCTTGTCATCCCACAGCAGGTCCTGGTACGTCACGCGGATCCAGTCCATCATCATCACACAAGAACGGGGTGAACATGTGTGTTCAGTCTCTTTGGATTGATTATCTTCCCATTAGTAGGTACCAAGAGTGGGTTTCAGTATACCAGATCAAGTACTCTCATCCCACACCACCAAAAATAAAGCCCTTTTGAAACTTCATCCTCTGTAGGTGCCGCGGTAGATCGACACATGGACAGTGGGGTTTGCCTTGACTGTAGTAAGTCCTTTTCAGAACGACATAATTTCAAAAATATACCCAGCCATGAGGAAGAAAAGACAGTGAATAGAAGTTAAACATTTCAATAAGCCCATCTCCCCACCAGTCGGCGGCGCCCGATAACGTGCACAAGGCGATTGGCCAGAACCAGGAAAGAATATAGTGTTGTTGTCGGTCACGACATGTGTGCTATTATCGAGCGAATGATCGTAGTAGACGATCATTCGAATTCAGTGTTTGTTCATCGTTCTTTATTTCATACTTTCATAATTCCGTTTCCTCACATACCCTTGGAAGAAATTCTGCCATATTTTACCACGTATCCGAGTACAGCGCGCCTGAGAACTGTATAAGGTGAGAGAGAAGATTTCTTTTCAAAATGTTTCATTCATTACCCTTTTGGGTTAAGCTGGACTAAAGGTAATGCAACAGAGTTCTTCCTAGCCAAATTACCGATTAAATCAGCTTCTTGCCTTAATAAAATATTAATAATCATTCTAGACCCAGTTGAAATATTGATTGATTGAGCATTCCAGAAATGATAGAACAATAAACATCTATCAATTTTTGAACGAGCGAAAGAAATGGTGCTTCTGTTTCGAGTACCAATTTTCTCCTTCCATATGGTTCGATGGAGTTACTCTTATTATTCGACATGCACTATCCTTTCATGAATGAGGCATTCACGCATTCAAAACGAACATAATGGTAGTTCAAGTAAAGAGTTCTCTATTGTCTCAGAGAACAGAAACGAATGTCCTCCCGTTCCCCGATCAATGCTGAAACTATTAGGCAAAGTCAATGGTTTTCTGCGCTGTCTTATCTGTTTGCAAACTTTTATCTAAACTTCTCGCTTATTATCAATTAAGGAATATAAAGATTTTTATCACTAATCCCATTACATACCGAGTTACTCTAATGAAGTTCAGTAAAGTCTCCCATGCGACGCCGCTGTGTTCCAGAGTTACTGGTCAACCAAGTTCGCTAGGAGATTACCAAATTTCTCCCTTTGGCGTCATTATTCTTACTAGTTTTCACAATATACTATGCATTCGTAGTTTGTGAATTATATATTCATGGCAGACAACTATAAGCAAACCAAAGACGAGGAGAATCCAGGCTTTCGAAGTTTCTGATAGTTCAGTGTCTCGCGACAAATAGAGTAAGGTATAGTTCCTGGGTAGCCATTTGTGCTCTGTAGCAGAAGAACAACAAGCTGCCAAAAACTGAGAGATTTCCACATAATCGCCAAGAAGCTTTCCAGCTATGAGCGAAGTAGTGGCACGTCACACCTTGTCCAGCTACTCGGTGCCAGTTTATGGCGAAAAGGGCCGAAGATAGTCTATTAGTAGCAAAAATATGCTGCTCTTCGCTTCCATTGAGCAAACAGCTCAATGAATCGTTCTGGAGCACGAAAGAGAGAAATGCAGACTGCAATTGACTCTTTTAAGTCACTGAATTCCTTACTGATAGTACAAGTGATACTAGCTTTCTGTTCCCAATAATAAAATAGGTGGATAAAGGACAACGTGTTCGGTTTCGATGAACACCCTTTTAGAGAGGCGCCATACATTTAATTCTATTTGTAGCTATTAATGTATATTTAAAATAATAATGACTTCCGAACTCCAGATGATACTTCAAGACCAGTGTTGTTATTCTTCTAGACAAGTCTGCCAACAATTTCCTAACCCTGGACCGTTAGGAACGTCGGTTATCCTGAAGCATGTGGTCGAACCAACGACCATCTTTTTATTGCGTGACAACTCTAACCATTACACTACATACGTCTTATATATCAGAGAGACCATTCTATACCATCACCTTCATTTTATAGAATGACGAAACCTTATTAACTCGTCAAAAAAAAGCAGAAATACGAACTAATTCTTCATGAGTTGACGCCAAAACGGCGAAACGCTTTATTTCAATTGTTTGTAGCAAAAGTAAAGATTAGTACCTACTTGGCGTCAGCAAAAAATGCGTCAATAATACGTTGACCGAGCGGATTCTGTTGCAGTTCAGCGATGCTCTGGAAGTCGATCTCAGTGAGGAAGTGCTCGTTCGTGGTTTTGTCACGATGTGTCGCCAACGATAGAAATCGCTTGTAGAGTGTGATGATACCGCTGCGTGACACTAAAACCACCATAAAGAACATTCCTGGCCGATCTATTCAATCATTTTTGTTTTTGTCTATTCTCTATTGTGTTATTTAGTTGGATGTCTATTATTGGCTTCGTGTATGAAAATTGTCAGATCATTTCAAATCCCTCTTCTCATATCTCTTTTAACAAAGGGAAGCACTATGGCGTGCTACTACCGCCTTTTTCCAATACTAGACGCTTTCCTTTCTTTCATAGTAAAAGCGAAAGAAATTCTTAAAAACCTCATAAACTTAGATCATGGAAATTCCAAGTCATTTAAAAAATAATCAATAACGAAGATGAAAAAACGGATTTGTTATTGTTCCCATTCTTCCTATTACGTTCATCTGAAAATCAAAAAACAAATCTTTATATTCCTGTTTACTAAACACGAGGTGTTAATTCATTTCTTTATTTACGCATAAGCTGACGCTTCGGCGGATTGTTTGTAGCAAAAGTATCGCCTTCCTCCGAGCCTGGAGAGGTTAACTTGGCCGCAATCTATCCAGCCAAACACCTCAAAAAACAAATGTACTCATACCAGCGGCGTGTGCGGCGCAGAGGTCGGAGGCGCCCTGCAACACACAAATGAAATTGATCTGCTCACCCATGGCCCACCAAGCCGTCCATCCCTCCGTTGTCGGGAAATTGGTACCAGACTTCTTTGGGAGGATAGCAGCATTGACTCGACACATCGGTAGGGCACCACGAGTTATTGTAAAGGAGGCCAGATATGCATTCAATCACCTCCAACCGATGCTTAATAAAGTAGAATGCATGGCGCATCTCTCAAGGATTGATCAACGCTTTATCCTTCATCCTTTACTCATGTCATGAAATATTTAAAGTGAAGGTCAAACAAAAAATAAAAGTTGTCCAGATTTGTTTTGTCGTTTATTTTTTATAACCTCGTAATCATATCCTATTCATTAGCTCGTTAAAATTGAATTCCTTAAGCTTCACTGGCTCTAGTCCGTATGCACCACGTGTTGTTTACCGCCTCGCTACCTTATAAGATAAGAGGTGTACATCATCGTCGAACTTCAAAACCGAGTGCATGATTCATCCCAAGAACGACATCTCTATCCAGAAATCAAACAAGTGGTGAACCCATATCCGAAGTAATACCCATCCTGGAAAGGACATGATGACAGTAGTCAAGCAGCAATACTCAATCCAATCCGCAAAGGCGAATTACCGGATTGGTGAAGGCATAGGAATACCATGGCAGGGGCTTCGTGGGATCCAAATGGGGAGAAATCTTATCAAATTAATTACATAGCAGCTAAATGAAGCACGTGTTAGAGCTCATATGTGAATCCAGTAAGCAGTTTATGTGAATAACACTGAAATTCCAATATGAAACCTTAAGACTACAAGATTTCTTCGTGTTGACGCCACTAGTGCTTCCAATTCTTGAAGAACAATCAGTTGGAGGAAAATCCAACATTAGGTAAAACTGTTCCGGAAACACCAAGTTTTTCATTATATTCACATATTTAATGAAAAACTGACACCGAGACGTAATCATCTTCCAGAAAAGTCATCATAACTAGAGGAAAGAAAACTCGAAACTCATGTCAAGTTCATTGTACAAGCACTACGAATCCTCGCGCTTAAATTTTGACGAACTCAAGCTTAGTGTCTAATAATCTCTATAAATAATGCAGGTTGTTAGGCAATCATATATTATAGATGAGTACTCCATAAATAATTGACTCATATCCAACTGGAAACTTGCCTACTGATAAAGAAAATCCGATTCCCCTAATTTTTGTAACCTCTCGTTATCATTTCATCTGCACCCGTTCTAATCATCCATTGTCTTGAACGTACATTTCAATCACTACCACTGGATCCTACTGCGCTTCAGAACTGTTCTATCTTTGAGCTCTACTCCATTGGGGCACAAACGTTACACTTTTGCTGCAAAACTTTTTCTTCGTTGTTCGTTTTCTACCGAATTTACTTGTCACCTCTGCTACCATTTATTTTGTGCGTGAGAGAACGAAATCTACAAGTAGCTCGTTGTGCTCGGCCTTGAATGAGTAGATATAGTCACGGGCACATTTTTCTTGGAGTGTACATATCAGCTACACCGTCCTTGAGCGGTCGGTTACTTTTTCATTTCTACTTTCGATTCTGATTTCGGTTTTAACATCTCTCCGAATCAACTAGTACGAAGATCGAGCGAAGGATTAGTCACCGAAAACACGCCTCCCTCTGATCCACATCGTGGTGAAGATTTGAGTACGCTCTTGCAAGGTTAAGTCAGAACTCCAGGGAGAACCAAGTTGCACGACCAACGATAAGCCAGCGTCAGTGCCCCGCACACTGGATTTTCCCGTCTATGTCAGGCGGTGAGACGACCGCTGAGAGGCCAGAAAATCTCGGGTTACGCAGGACGTCATTGGAACCGGATCTGACGAACACACGCACGACACGCCATCGAGATTGTTTCTTACTATGCACGTATAATGCCAGAACACTCTCCACAGATGCCGATCTTCACGCCCTTCTTGTAGCGACAGATCGTATTAAATTTCATGTGATCGCATTACAAGAAACAAAAATCAAGAAGACCGGCATACGCAGACTAAACAACGGGACCATTGTGATCCGTGGAGAAACGGTCCCATCACGAAATGTCGGTGGCCTAGGCTTTGTCGTCCACCAGCCCATTGTCCATCTCGTCGACTCAGACGTGATCTTTTCCTCTCGCATTGCCGTCCTCCGTCTTCAACTGTGGCATCATAAGATCACTATCACCAACTGCTACTCACCGACGGACGCAGCTGACGAGTACGAATTAAATGCGTTCTACTATCAGTTGGAGGAAGTCATCCGCAATGATAAAGCATATCATAAATTTGTTGTTGGAGACTTCAACGCCAGAATGGGAAAGTCCAACGAGAGCGAATACAGGATCGGAAATTTTGGATTAGGAGAAGGAAATGAGAATGGGAACCGTCTCGCAGGACTCCTGTCAGCAGCACGTCTCCTCCATCGAAACTCGTTTTTCCAGAAGAAAGAAAGCCACCGCTGGACATGGGAGTCTCCCAACGGCATGACTCATGCGGAGATCGACCATATTCTGACAAACGGAAGATGGGTCCTACTTGACACATCGGTAGTCCCGTCATTCTGTACTGGTTCCGATCACCGCCTTCTTCGCTCGAAGATTCGATTCAGCAGCAAGCTGGAAAAGGACTCTCTTCATCGATCACGGGGAAAAAGTTTAGCTGCATACGACGAGAACATTCTGAACGAAATCCTATCCAAACGTGACTGGCAGATTAAAGAAGACCCGACCGAAGACTATGAGCTGCTTGTCGTAGGACTGAAAAGCTGTGCCGAATCCGCCTCAGTTCCTCAAACAAGAACATCGGATAGGATTTCCATCACTACTAAGAAGTTACTCGAAAAGAGAAGCAAACTGAAACTTGATCCTACTGTAACACGTTTAACATGGCTAGTAATAAATGCCATCTGCAGAAGAGCTTTGCAGGAAGATCTACAACGGCGCAAGCAGAAGAAACTACTGGAAGCATCAGAGAACCGAAGCAGTCTTAAAAGTGTCGTCGGGACTTGTGTGATTGTAATGTTCAGCTGTCAGCTCTGATGAACGATCATCCTGCTCGTGAAAAATGACCGAAGAGATTTTCGTAACTACCGTCTGATATGCTTTTTTGTGTACTCTACAAGCTCTTCGCAAAGATTATCCCCTCGCGCAAATCAAGGATATTGAATGAGGCGCAAACAGTCGAGCAAACAGGATTTCGAAAAGGATTTTGCTGCATGGACCACAACCAAACCGTGTCCAGAGTCATCGTAGTTTTTCAGGAATACCACTTGCCTCTAGTCGTAACCTTTGTCGACGATTAGAAAGCATTTGACAGTGTCGAAATGAATGTAATCCTATCAGCGCTTTTGGAGCAAAGAGTGGACTCATCCTACATAAGGACTCTGTCCGACTGTTATCGGAGCTGCACTACGAAAACGCAGCTTTTCCATCGACCTCTTACCATACCCATAGGAAAAGGGGTAAGACAGGGCGACACAATATCGCCAAAGCTGTTCAGTGCCGCACTGCAGTGAAGTGAATAGTGAGTGAAGCCACTCGATTGGAATTAGAAAGGCATACGTATTGAATAAAAATTACTATCAAACCTTTGTTTTGCCGACTACATTGTCATCTTCTCAAGAAGTTCTAGCGAAGCAGAGATGATGATCAACGACCTCAACGAAGCGGGGAAAAAGATCGGACTTCGCATAGATCGAAAGAAGACCCAGTTCATGAAAAAACCATGGTGCGAAGGCGAAAAAATTGAATTGGATGACTCTCTCATTGCAAGGATCACTTCGTACGTATACCTTGGGCGATCAATGAACATGGGGAACAATATGAAGGAGGAAGTAGATAGAAGAAGGAAAGCAGTTTGGGCCGCATTCGGGCCTCTCAAAGAAACCACCGACCAACTGAAGGGCCCGAAAATCCGCGCTCATCTCTTCCATTCTACGGTCCTCCTAGCGCTCTGTTATGCGGCAGAGACGTGGGTTGATACTTCAACCACGTCAGGAATGCTTCGCAGTACTCACAGAACGCTTGAGCGATGTCTTCTGAAATATAACCAGCACTTCAATATCTAGCCGGAATGCGAAGCTCTGACCTTCGAAACCTGTCACATCTTCGAGATCCAGGAGAAAATACATCGACAGCGAAACAGATATAATGAGATAATCACATAATGAGAAGAACAGACAACAGATGGACGGAAATAACAGTAGAATGGACTCAAAGGGAAAGCAAACGTCCCACCTACACATTGGGAGACGTGTTCGTAAGCAAAGTTAATCAGCTGTACACGGAACTGCAGTTGTTTTACAGATCACGCTATGAGACTCGCACGCGCTACCATGCTCGAACAAGACCACCACCATGGACTACGATTGCGAGAAAAAGGAACTAATGGCATATGTGCTGGGGTCCGCACAGCTCGTGATGACGGACCGTCCAAATATCCAAGCATTCATGTAATTTTCTTGTGAAAAGTACTAATCATTAATGTTTAATGGTTCCTCAAACAATAGCTGTTATCGTCACAAAGGTGGCAAGGACAATGTTTATAAGACACACGATTTAATATTTAAAAAAATTCATTGTATTTCCTTGTTAGAAATGGAATTCTGGTGATCCTTGTATAGAAATCATTTTTGTTTCTAAACTTCTATGGGAATCGTTTTGATTTCAAATTAGAGGGTATTCAAGAAATCACAATGGTAACCTTTTATTCTCTGCCTACTATAGTTTTCACGGAAACCTATGATGTGAGATTGAACGACAACGATGCTGAGATATTCGAAGCCACGATAACCTTTTCCGGGAGCTCGCGCATTACACAATACACCATGGAGGTGCTTGCTCTGCGTTACTCTCAGTTAGTTTTTCTGCCTAACGCTGCCATCAGCAATTTTCCAGAAATCTCAGTTTTCAGTTGGTTTACAATTAAGCCTTACTACAGCTTAATTATAGCGGTTTTCTTTGTTATGGAGATCTTTAAGGAATCAGTAGAAATGCTTTCCTGTCTTAGTGCTTGATATTGATTGATAACGATTTTTAGAGCGAGAGTGATCGCATTTGAAGCTGTGTTCACTATTGAAGATAGAACAGAGATCTAAGAAAAATTATCAAAAAGTTCTTATTGTTTTGTTACGAGTGTGTTGATAAAATCGATATGGTGGAGTACTTGGTATTGCAGATGCACTATAAATAATTCAGACTGGCGATGAGATAGAGTGTAGAAGAAATAGGTGTAAGACGAGGAATTGAACTAATTTTGTTATGCTCAGGGAAATGGAAAGAAAATCCTAAAACTGCAAGTGAGAAGACTGGGTTAAAAAGCCGATGAAAGGGTATAATTTCGAATTATAAAGAAATTTTACATTAGTCCGAAACGCCAAAGTAACCATATAGCTTCCGAGTTCGTTTTTCACTGTATTCGTTTCTAGGGAATAAAATAGAGTGAAGCCGTTGGCGTTCGTCAATCTCCGAGGAATGTGACATGCATTCGACTCCATTAGGAATTTCAGAAATGACTGAATGCTTGCCTTGCAACTTTTGAACAGCCTTGCAACTTTTGCACAATTTGGTGATCCTAGAAGTTGGTGGTCCAACGTGGTAACCCTGTTAACGCAGGACGCGGGATCGAATTGGCGAGCGTGTGCACAACTAAGACACTTCTCATCACTGCGCCGAGAATGTATTTCATTAGCAAATCTACGACCTTTAGAGAGTTGTGCTGATGTGAAGTTTTTATTTACTATTTATTAGAAGTTTTAACGACAGGGTGTTGCAACCACAATGATGCTGAGATATTTGCAAAACTCCGGATCGCAAGAGTCTGCGTTGGGGAACGAACGTCTACTGTCCTTTCCGGGACTAACGCGTTCACCACCACACCATGCAGGTCGTCAGCTACTTCTATCGATCGGTGCCATCGTCCGTCAACGGGATTGATCTGCGGAGCTCAATTCGGCAATGAGCCCAGCTAAGGTCAGGCTGTAGGAAATCACAATGTTAACTTTTTACTTACTGCCTATTACAACTTTTAACGGCAGAATATTATGTGTGATGCAACCACAGTGATGCTGAGGTATCACGTACCTGTAGTCCAGAGTTTTGCAAATATCTCAGCATCATTACTAGTTGTTCAGATATTTGAACAGCTTAGAAATGGCTTGTTTGAATGCAAAGCTTATATGATATTTTCGAGTTCTTGGTTATACATTCGCTAGAATTACACGCTATTTTTGGGCTACGCTTGAATGAGATTTTTGAGAGGATATGAATGATCGACTTTTGTTGTGCCATATCCGCCTCAAGAGCATGCTCATGCAAATATGGGTAGTTATCTCTCACCGTTTTTCTACACCGCATTAAGCATAACGTCTATGAACAGCTTGTGAACATCTGGCTGTCGATTATGAACTCAAAAACTGGTGAAGAGATTCACATTTATCTGCTTCGTCGAGTAAGAAGAGCGCATGTCACACCTGAGAATGCGAAACTGGTGTAGACCATTGTGTTTAAGATGGTACACATTCAAAGACGAATGTAGTCTTAGAAAAGCTAGAAATAACGGTTCAGCTTTTTCGCTGTAATTTTTTTCTATGGAAATACGAAAGCCTTTGATCTTAAACTATTGAGATTGAACCCTCGGGAAGGCGGCGTATTGTTGGACTCAACGGCTTAGGCCAACACAAATTTTTTAATCGGCGTATATTCTTCCGTTGACAAGCTAATAATCAAAATTGTAAAAATTGTAATCAAAATAGTTATTTAATTATAACTAAACAATTAATTAACTGCAATACTTTTAATTTTTCAATATTTTTATATAGTGTTACAATATTTCTTATTCCACTTTTTTATATTTTTTTCATCACCGATTCTGATGAAGGCGAAGACGTCGAAAAGTTAGCTGAATAGAACCATTTTTTATCAACTTCGTGTACGCTCAACAATTTACATACGATTTTTTTAACTTGTTGTTTTCTTGATAAACAGACACAAGGTCGTTATTGCACTACTTATTCACGCAAGCTGACATTCCTGCGATTCCACCTTCTTCGGAGCCTCAAAGGTTATGTCATCCAACTACAAGAAGCCACCTAGTTCTTAGCCGTTTGTTTGACCATCGATGAACAACCGAAAATTGCATAATTTACCCTAACGGTGAGGACAGCTATTTCATGAGTACGGTGCATCTTATTTATTGTAAAGCGTGCGGGGGCGAATATATCTGCGAAGAGGGTAGACCAATCTGCGTCCATTCAGAAAGACACCTAGTCGGCAAACTTAAGGTTAAACGAGGCGTGCTTAGGACATAGAGCAAGACATGATCGAGAAGATTCTGAAGTAGGGATTGCCATCCTTGCTAACCTGAAACTTGGTTGCACAAAACTCTGGACGCGATTTCGATATTGCTACAATCCGAAAATGAATTGCATGTAGGAATGTCTCCTTATTACGCGAGATCTCACACAACATGTCAGACTGATATTTTAACTCGACTAAACGGAAGACTCATAAAAAACCATGCTTGTATGAGGAAGCCGTTTTCAATGCACTTGTAATTTAGGCGCAGGGTTTTTCTCTCGAGGTTATAGAAGTATTTAGTGGACTAGATTGCACATCAGCTTGACTTTTAGGGTCCAAAAAGGACTATTGCCGAAACATCAGCTATCGTTTATAAACAGTGTAATAAGATGTAATAAGAAAGTCGTGTCTTCTCATAAAGAAACCGAGGTCAGTTGATTAATGCCGATGTTGATGGAAAACCGGTCGTGAGAATCATAATATTCTTCATACCTCTTGTCTGTTTCAGTGTTCCTTTGCTCATCTTTTCAACAGAATTTAGCACTTTTTCACAGCAATACTTTAGTTGTTGAAGAGAAGTGAAGCTGATCATTTTAGAGTTGCTGACCCATTGTTCCTTCCCATATTGCTAGTAAAATAGGGTAAGGCGTGAGTAATACAATGATTGAAGGTGTCTTGGAATACTCATACCATTAGTTAGTTGATTCCACACTTCCAATAAACCATGCTTTTCATTCCTGGTACGTTGGCAAATAACAGCCCATATGAGCTTCTCATCACCTACTCTAAGATCGAAGCCTTTTCTATGCTGTCACCGCGTTCGTTTCTTAATTTCGTGTATAATATCAGTGAGAAAGCTAGTTACCACTTCTACGTTTTCGAAAACTGCGTCCATTAGTAAATGTTTAGACACAATGGATTAGATTGGATCTTCAACACTTTTTGGTTTGCCGACTGAATTCAGGTGTTTACAGGTTTTTTATCGTTCTAGTACTTAGTGCGGTCTAGATGAACGTTACCAGAACCAGAAGAAAACCCATATGAGCGTCACTTCGGCCTTGAGGTGGTTATAACACGGCAGAAACCAATCACTCACATCTCCTCATAAATCTTATTCAAGCGTAACTCAAATAGCGGGCCGTAGTTCTAACGAATGGTAGAACTCGGCAATGCAATATAAGCTTGGCATTGGAATACGTCGTTTCCAAAGGCAGTTTAAATATCAGCATAAGTGCTGGAAAGTTATCGACTAGGTAATGAACCACGTTAGCTTTGGTAACTTAATATAGGCAAACGTAGTGGTTGAAAGTGTTCTTTTCAGAAATTACACACCTCCTTGGTTCAATGCTGCGCCATAGACTAGTAAATCCACTATCTACCTTCACCCTATCTTTCCATAGTAGTACTGACTTGATATGTTGGTAAGGCACCGCAAAGGTTTTTATGCGTTGAACTTATTCAGTATATGCACTCATCTCTACGATGTTCAGTGAAGTCGAATGCATCATTTTTTAAAATTGGATAAGGCAGAATGAGACACAGTTTCTCTTCTTCCGCTGTTCGTGTTCCACTCCTAACTTTTCGATAGCAGATAGGCCGTTCACTTTCTCCATTCTTCCCTGTCGCACATCAGAGTTGCTTTGAGAAGGAAGTTCACACTTTTCGCATAATGACTTTTTCTCATTAGCGACAGTGAAGTCACAAGTAGTATGTGAGGTTCCATCGTTAGATAGGTATACTTTTGGCTAGACCTGAATGGAATTAGCGGTCCTCAGGTTACAGTCTAGTGGAAGAATGAATGTCCGTGTTCTAAATCGCAGTTTGACAAATAAGAAAGTCTCTCAGGCCTGATGTGAAATAATGTATGACTTGAATCCCATTCTACTTCTCAGGATGTTCTTCGATCACCATTTATAACCCACATTTGTCCAGATTTGGTTTCGTTGATAGTGCCTCGCGTGCACAAGTGATGTGCTATTTCCGAGACTGTGTTTTACTTAGAATTCAGCACACAGCATCATTACATTCTGAGCAAAACATCTCCCAGAGAGCTCATTGCTCTTTATTTATGTGAATTCCTAATCGCGGAAGTGGTGTAATTTCTGAATCTCGTCGTTGTTCTTTATTTTTGCAGTTTGTCCGGTTTTGAGGCCTGAGACGGCTCTCCATCTTTCTTTTTTTTTGCCAAAATTTCGACATTGGAGATATTTTTCAACAATAGGAAAATATGGCTGTTTATTACTGTTGCTTATGATGTGAAGTGCCTATAGATATATTTCAACCTCATCCCACTAGAGTAACAAATCGATCTCCGTGACATCAACATCATAGCACAGCAGGTTTCAGTGATGTTTAACCCTGAAGACGAACGAAAAGTATTTTTGTTCCGTGAGGCTTGCAGTCTCGTAACTAATGGTTTTGCCCTTTTGAACGAATGACATTTGCAAAGAGGAAGACACGCAAAGGAAGATTGTGTCATAAAGGTTTCTAGATGCTCTGCTAATTACATATCTGACAAAAAAGTGATATTTTACAATCGTTCTCTATTATCTGGGTATTTTAATCGCGAAATATAAGATTTTATGATTGGTTATTGATGACTCGAAGATTGGGCTCTCTATATCAATCCCGCTTACGGGTGATTGCTGTTGGCACTGATCGATAGAACTAACTCAAAGACAGGCGAGATGAAGGACCCAAATGGTGTGGTGGTGAACGCGTTAGCCCCCAGAAAGGACAATAGCACGTTCGTTCCTGACCGCTGACACCTGCGGTCCGGAGTTTTGCAAATATCTCTGCATTATTGTGGTTATGTTAAAGGAATTAGTATAATTTCGTGAGAATTTTTCATGGTTGATTATCGGATGTAATGCCTCGCTAGTTTTAGTGAAGGAGTCGGGTAATGAAGTAGTAATCACGTTGTTCATTACGAACCAGGCAATATTATGACCCATCACCGGGGCCACAAATCCTCCTATCCACATGAATGTTCTTTACTAGGAAGTTGTCGAGTTGATATTGGGCAAACGCGGCCATTTACTCGCCGTGGGGCAGGTGAGCTCAGAAGATTGGCTTCTTGTCTTTACGACGACAGGTAGGCATACCTTCTTCGTTCCTGACCGCTGACACCTGCGGTCCGGAGTTTTGCAAATATCTCTGCATTATTGTGGTTATGTATGCACTTTCTTACCTACTTAAATAATTAGACGGTCCGCCATCACGAGCTGTGCGGACACCAGCACATATGCCATCTGTTCCTTTCTCTCGCTGTCGTAGTCCATGGTGGTGGTATTGTTCGAGCATGGTAGCGCGTGCGAGTCTCATATCGTGATCTGTAAAACAACTGCAGTTCCGGGTACAGCTGATTAACTTTGTTTACGAACACGTTTCCACCAACGTGTAGGTGGTCGTGCAAGGAGACGTCTTCATTTTCTTGGTGTCCACTCTACTGTTCTTTTCGTCCTTCTGTCGTCCGTTCTTCTAATTATGTGACCGGCCCATCTATGTTTCGCTGTCCATGTATTTTCTCCTGGATCTCGAAGATGTGACAGGTTTCGAAGGTCAGAGCTTCGCATTCCGGCTAGATATTGAAGTGCTGGTTATATTTCAGAACATCGCTCAAGCGTTCTGTGAGTACTGCGAAGCATTCCTGACGTGGCTGAAGTATCAACCCACGTCTCTGCCGCATAACAGAGCGCTGGGAGGACCGTAGAATGGAAGAGATGAGCGCGGATTTTCGGGCCCTTCAGTTGGTCGGTGGCTTCTTTGAGAGGCCCGAATGCGGCCCAAACTGCTTTCCTTCTTCTATCTAGTTCCTCCTTCATATTGTTCCCCATGTTCATTGATCGCCCAAGGTATACGTACGAAGTGGTCCTTGCAATGAGAGAGTCATCCAATTCAATTTTTTCGCCTTCGCACCATGGTTTTTTCATGAACTGGGTCTTCTTTCGATCTATGCGAAGTCCGATCTTTTTCCCCGCTTCGTTGAGGTCGTTGATCATCATCTCTGCTTCGCTGGAACTTCTTGAGAAGATGACAATGTAGTCGGCAAAACAAAGNTCGAAGGTCAGAGCTTCGCATTCCGGCTAGATATTGAAGTGCTGGTTATATTTCAGAAGACATCGCTCAAGCGTTCTGTGAGTACTGCGAAGCATTCCTGACGTGGTTGAAGTATCAACCCACGTCTCTGCC